GCATGCTTTTTACGTTGCACAGAGGCACCCATTGAATGGGAAAGAGAAACCTGGAAAGCTGTGATGGCTGGGAGAGATGCAGGCTGATTGAGGACAGAAATGAAGCAGAAGCCGAGGCGAAGGAAAAGCGGTCCAGGGATACCCACCAGGAGGTGGCAACTTCAACCAAGAATGACTACACCAGCTGGCCCCAACACTGCAGGAGGCCAAGGCAGGTGGATCATCTGAGGTCAGGAGTTCCAGACCAGCTTGGCCAAGACGGTGACACCCCGTCTCTACTAAAAGTACAAAAATTAGACAGGCATGGTGGCGCGTACTGGTAATCTCAGCTACCTGGGAGGTTGAGGCAGGTGAATCACTCGAACCCAGGAGGCGACGTCGCAGTGAGCCAAGATCGCACCACTGCACTCCAGACTGGGCAACAGACCAAGACTACATCTCAAAAATAAAAAAAAAAGCCAGGTGTGGTGGCTCACACCTGTAATCCCAGCACTTTGGGAGGCCAAGGCAGGTGGATCATGAGGTCCAGCCTGCCAACACAGTGACACCTGACTCTACTGAAAATACAAAAATTAGCCAGGCATAGTGGCGCATATCTATAAATCCCAGCAACCTGGGAGGCTGAGGCAGGAGAATCACTTGAACCCACAAAGCGGAGGTTGCAGTGAGCCGAGATCACACCACTGCACTCCAGCCTGGGTGACAGAGCAAGACTCGGTCTTAAAGAAAAAAAAAGAATGTGTACACCAGAGGACCTACATCCTATTAAGATGATACACATACAAGATTTTGCAGAGGCACCTATCCCACACTGAAGGAGAATTGGAAAGACCAGGGAAGGCTTCACTAACCACAAAACAAGTCACAACAGCAACAAACTGAGAAGAGAATGTTAGGTCTAACCCAGTGGTTCTCAACTGGGAGCAAGTTCTCTCTAGAGACAGTAGGCGATGTCTGGAGGCATTTTTCTGGAGGTCACTACTGGCACCTAGTGGGTAGAGGACAGGATCCCACATGTGCTACACATCCCACAATGCACAGCATGGTCCCCCCACAAGAGAGAATGTTCTGGTCCCAAGTATCAACAGTGGGTTGAGAAACTCTGGTCCAATCCAAAATGTGCCTGGAGATCTGCCCGTGAAAATTAGTCACCTTGAAGGTTTCTCAGAAATAACAATGTTACGATCCATTCCTGAAAATTACTGATTTATTTATTCTTGTGTGCTGCCTGTTCACACAAAGGACTGAGTTAAGATTCACAGGAAAATGACATAAGTGATAAAATTAAAGGCTGGGGAAAAAAAAGAAAGAAAATTAAAAGAGAAAGGAGAGCCTTAGGGCTGAGGGCTTGAAGGCTGCAATACTCGTTTCCCACGCCAGCAGCAGGCCTGACTGTGTCAGGAAAGCGCAGCCCTAAGTGTCTGACTCATTATGAAGTTGCATTTTGATGAGTGATGACGTGGCTTGCGGGTACAGACTTCACAATCATTTAATTCTCGGTCACTCTCCCAGGTTCTCGGATGAAAGGCCATGTCAGGTCAGTTATTCCAGGGAAGCTACATATGCCACGGAACACATGAAAGAGGTAATCTAGTCCTTTTAGATGAGCCAGGGCCCACAGACAGGAAGCAACTCAAGCAAAGGCGGACCAGGGCAGAGCCGGCCTGGCCCACCCAGGTCTCCTGCCCCCAGGCACACCTGCTATCCCCATCACACCTTGCTTCTCAGCTCAACACATCTGGGCGAGGGCCTTGCCTTCAGGAAACATTCCAGCCTATTCAAAGCCCAGCCACAAATGCAGCAGCTTGAGTTTGTTTTACTTTATGTTTATCAGGTCACTGGCACTTAGTAAAAATAATGCTTTATAAAATAATTGAAAACGTAGGCCGGGCACGGGGGCTCATAGCTGTAATCCCAGCATTTTGGGAAGCTGAGGCATGTGGATGATGAGGTCAAGAGATCAAGACCATCCTGTCCAACATGGTGAAACCCCGTCTCTACTGAAAACACAAAATTTAGCCGGGCGTGGTGGCACGCGCCTGTAATCCCAGCTACTTGGGAGGCTGAGGTAGGAGAATCGCTTCAACCTGGGGGTAGGTGGAGGGTACGCTGAGCCAAGATCATGCCACTGCACTCCAGCCTGGTAATAGAGTGAGACTACGTGTCAAAAAAAAAGAAAGAAACTCTGTCTAGTAGAAACAATGCAAATGTCCAATGAAATATGACACATCCGTACAATAGAGTATTATACAGCCATATACAGCCATGAAAACAAATGAAGTACTGCCACATGCTACAACATGCACTAACTTTGAACGTGATGCTGGGCTGGGCGCCGTGGCTCACACCTGTAATCCCAGCACTTTGGGAGGCTGAGGCGATCGGAGTACCAGGTCAAGAGCTCAAGACCACCCTGACCAAAATGGTGAAATCTTGTCTCAAAAAAAAAAAAAAGAAAGAAAGAAAGAAAACGTGATGCTGAGTGAAAGAAGCCAGGCACAAAAGGCCACATAGGGTGTGATTCCGTTTATATAAAATGTTCAGAATAAGCAAATCTATAGATACAGAAAGTAGATTAGTGGCTGCCTAGGGTTAGGGAGAATGGGGCAGGGGGAGGCTGCAGCTGAGGGCTAAGGGGTACAGACTTCCTATTTTGGTGGGGGGTGAAAATGTTCTGGAATTAGATGGTGGTGATGGTTGCATAATCTCATGAATATACTAAAAACCACTGAATTGTACACTTTACAATGGCCAATTTATGGTATGAAACTAAAAAATAAGCCCTTAAAAATGTGTAAGACAAGAACAGATTAGGTTGCAAGTAACTCCAGGAACATCAGGTTTTGAATCAGAAATCTGGGCGGACAGGCTCAGCCTGAAGCCAACCTCTCCCCTTACCTCAGGTAAGTTTTTGTGATGAGAACCGGAGATTACATGCATAAAAGTACTCCGTAAATTGCCAGACGGTAGAGATAGGAACAGAAAACAGCCCCTCCTCGCTGTGGGAAGGAAAGGCACTATTGCAATCCAACTTCTCAGTAGCAGGCCATTGATCGCCAATTTTTTTGCCTCTAATCAGCATGTAGAGGGGGATTATTAGAATCTTCTGTCTGTAGATAACTCATGAGTGGCCTCACCTCTCCAAGGAGAAGGTTCAAGTTCTCAGGCACTCTGAAAACATCCCTGCCAATCCCAGCAAAGCGAGGCTGAAGAGCTACCCTACCAGGAGACGGGGCTGTCAAACCAAACGCAAATATTATTCTCTCGTCTCACACAGACACACAAACCTCCCCCGTGTTATCAGTCAACTTCCCCCACTCCCTCCCACAAAGGAAGGGTCTGAAGAGCCCAGATGCCGGCTGCAGAACTTCCTGGGCCTGAGACTGCAGAGTCGCCTCTCCAGTCTTCTCTAAACATAGCTAAGGGTCTGCAGGCAAACACTCAGCCTTGTTATAGATAAGAGTTTAGACCAGAGGCCTTGAAAGGTTCTTCAGGAGATGGTGGGCAAGACTGCACGACCAGAGGGTCATCCCTGCAGCTGCAGAGAAATGACCTGCTCAGAGGCCCGAGGCCCAAGGCCCGAGCCGAGGACAAGCCAGGCCAACCCTGCGGCTCAGAGGGCACCAGTTCCCTCAATCAACCCCAGAGGAAGAAGTCAGGTCAACAGACCCGGGCCACACACACAGAACCACAAAAATGTGCACAGTGCCGGCACATGCAGCCCAGAGAGGCACCTATGCAATCACCCAGAATGGGTTACAGCCACACAGAAAGACAGATGCACAGAAACACACAGCCCTAAGTGATGTTACGGAAAGGAAAAGCCAGACTCAGGCTGCACACAGAATCTGCAGCATGCTCAGTCACCATCACACAGTGACAGGGGCACGCCTACAGCCAGAACTCCAGAGGCGGCAGGTGGGGAAACAATCTCACACGTTTGTAGGGGCACTTCCAGATGCCTGTCTCACTCTGGCACACCTGAAAGACGGGTCGACCAGAGTCACATCTCACATCGCAAAGCCAGGCACACAGGCAAAGGGCCTAGACCTGCCCTGGCCACAGGTCTCAGAAACAGCGGCTCACACAGTCACCCAATCAGGGGTCCCAGTCGCATATCCAGTCACTCCTGGACCCGGGTCACACTGCAGAGTCACCCACAAATGGGAGTCCCCTCCACAAGCACAGTCCTCCCCAGACAGAGGTCAACCCCCAGACAGGGGTCACACCTGAAATCACAGCCCCCAGTCACGAGGTCACACCTGCACACACAGTCTCTGCACAGTCACCCTCAGACGCGGATCACAACGCATAGTCCCCGCCAAACAGGGATCATCCCAAGATGGGGGTCACCCCCGATGGGGGTCACAGCGCACACACAATCAATCCCCTGCAGGCACTTCCAGAAGAGCACTGCACACAGTCCCTGCAAAGTCGCTCCCCGATAGGGGTCACACCGCACACAAAGTACCCGCACTGTCACCCCGGTCTGGCTGCCCAGGTTCCTACAGTGGGGTCCCCACAGGAGCTCGCGCAGCCGCCACCCCCCGCTGCGCACGCGCGGCCCCGGCTCCGGCGACCTAGGCGCGGCGTCTGGCGGCCCAGGCAGGGCGCAGCGGGCCTGGGGCTCACCTCGCTGTTGCTGGCCGAGGAGGAGGCGGCGCTGGGCGTAGGCGACCGCTGCAGGGTCACCAGGGCCATGGCTGCGGCGCGGTGCTAGGGCGCCACCGAGGTCTTGAGCTAGAGCCGCCACCGCTACCGCCACCCGGGCCAGGCCCGGGGCCTCCAGGAGCCGCGCGCGGGCGGCCGGGCCGAGCCGGGCCAGGCCCGCCCCTCCCACTCGGCGTCGCCCCCGCCCCCGCCCCCGCCCCCAGCTCCCGCCTCCCGCGCCGGCGCGCGCCGAGGCTGGTGCGCGGAGCGGGCGGGGCGGGGAGGCGCGCGTGCGCGGGGGCCCCCGAGGGCGGCCCGAGGCCTCGGCTGGTCCGTCACGTCCACCGCGCGCCAGATACACGCGCCCCCGCCCGCGCGACCGGCCCGCTGGCCTGGAACTCGGGGGCGCGCGCGTCTCCCGGAGCCCGTAGGCTCCAGGGCCCCGCCCGCAGCTCCGGCTGGGGAAACTGAGGCCCGGCGACCGGGCAGTCAGGACTGTACAGCGACCAAGAAATAAAAGACGTTTTGGCCCCTGCGCCGTGAACTCCTGCAGGAGTGTGCAGAAATTCGTTTATGGACTATTTCTTGAGCACCTACCAAGTGCCAGGGGTTCGTTGAGTATAAAACAGTAAGCAAAATAGATTCGCCTGATTTTGCAGAGGTTAATCAAGTTAGTAGGCACGTTTGAAAAAATTACTTTGCTAATCTTTTTCAATGAATTCTTTCTCTGTGTCCTGAGACCCAGCCAACTCCTTGGAGGGTCAGGAAAGGCTTCCCAGAAGAGATTTATTTTGAGGCTTGAGCGTGAGCAGGATTAACAGGTGAAAGAAGGGAGAGACAGTTCTCCAGGCGAGGGGGATCAGCGCGCCCGGAAACAGGAAGAAGGTTGTCCAAGAAGGAGGCCAGTGCCCAGGGAAGGGAAGAGGGGAGGAATGGCTGGAATCTCGATCCTCTGTGGAAAGATCGCTCCGCCTGTTGCGTGGAGGAGGGACCATGGAACAGAGAGCTGAGGGAGACCAGGGAGGAGGCTGCTGTTGTTGTCCCGGGGAGAGATGACCTGTATGGGGATGGAGAGAGCAACATGGAGTAAGATACCAAGAAGGCAATTCTGGCTTGACTTAGTAATAGGAAATTTCTCTTTTACCAAAGTCTCATCCCTTGGCCCCCACCCAGCCTCTGCATATTGCACAAGTACTGCCAAACGCAGTGGTCCCAGCCCGCCCCACGGCTTAGCAAATCTGACTTACTGCCCAACAGGAAACCCACCGCAGCCTTCTGGATTCTTCCCCTTCCCTCCCTTTGTCCTGCTGTGACCTTCTCCTTGTTATTCACAGGGTCTCAGCACGATTCATCTCAAAGGTGGTTCTCAGTGAGGGGTACTGTAGCTTCTACCGAGCGTTTTGAAGGGGGAATGGGAATGTTTTTGTTTGGAAAACTCTGCCCCTACCGCAAAAGCTCTCTCTCTCTTTCCCTCCCCCACAAAGAGGCTCCCTTATCTCTCACTTTACATACCGGCCATAGCCCTCCCGCCGCCCAGCTTCCCGCCGCCCAGCTTCCCGCCCAGCAGTTCAAACTGACCAACAGTTGCCCACCACCTCGGCTTTTGGCTTCCCCACCCCCAGCCCTTCAGCCCCCTATAAAACAACCCTGCCCCTCTGAGCAGCGCGGCCATTTTTCCTTTTCGTCCCAGCTGGCCCGCCCGGAGGCTCTTTCCTCTCAATAAAGCCTGAACTTAAGGAATTTCCTCTAGCCTGCGGTCCGGTTTCTTTCCCAATGAGCCCAGTCTTCCCGCAGAGGGTAGGTCGGACAAATGGTGCCGGAAACCCGGGACGGGAGCTGAGGCTGTTGGCCCGGCCACGGCCCCCCTCCCCGACCTACCCAACACTGGCCCTGCCACCTCCACATTCCGATTAAGGTAAGCCAAGTTTTTCTTGCTTTGCCTTCCCCCGCTTCCCGTCTCCTCTTCCTACGGCATGGTGCAGTTGCTCCCTCTCCGGCGTTCCGCACGGACTCCTTGCCTAGTCTCGGCCGAGCCAAGGTAGTCTTCCATTCCGGCTCCAGGAGCCTTCCGAGGGACAGCCGCCAGACGGGGGACGCCCCTCTGACCGCTTCCCTTTCCGTACTTAATTGTACTCCGGGGAATTTGCAACGAACGGGGACGCCTTTTCGTTGCATCTGCCCATCCGCGCCGGAGAGTCTGTAGCTGCGCCTGCCATGGGAAATTCGGAGTCCAAAATACCTCTGAGCACCCCCCTTGGGTGCTTGCTGCGAATTTTACCAAATTGGGATATTCCCAAACCCTCAGAAAGAAAAAGCTTATCTTCCTGTCTCAGGTGGCTTGGCCCCAATACAAACTCAGTAACCAGTCACATTGGCCCCCGACTGGCACTTTTGATTTCAACACCCTCCGAGATCTCGACGATTTTTGTCGCCGCGCGGGCAAGGACAATGAAATTCCTTACGTCCAGGCTTTTTGGGACCTCCGTACCCACCCCGACCTATGTTCTTCCTGCTCCACCTACCAAATCCTCTTATCTCGAACCCCCCGTAAATCTTCCTCTACTACCTCTCCCCCTCCCTACTCCTCACCGGAGGATCTGCCTGAACATCTGTCCTCTCCTGCCAATCTCAGCAACCAGTCGCCATCAACGGCACGCCCTTCCCCCACTCCCTCTGCACCTCCTACCTCAGAGGCCATGCCTCACTCTCCCTCTACTCCCTCCGAGCCCCCTCCCTCAGAGGCCACACTTCCTCTTGCCTCTCCGGTGGCGGCCCACACCCGCTCTCACCAGCCAGCTATCCTGGCCCCACTCCGAGAAGTAGCAGGCGCAGAAGGTTTAGTCAGGGTCCATGTTCCTTTCTCACTCCAAGACCTGTCCCAAATTGAGAAACGTTTAGGATCCTTCTCAGCCAACCCGTCCACCTATATTAAAGAATTCCAATACCTCACTCAAACATAAGAAGCCCTAGTCCGGTACACTCGACTAGATCTAGCCTCCCATTTTATCTCCCAGTCAGCACCCGACATAAGAAAGAAACTAAAGAAAGCAGAAGAGGGGCCAGAGACTCCCATCCAAGACCTGGTAAAAATGGCCTTTAAAGTATTCAATGCCAGGGAAGATGCGGCTGAGGCTGCCCGCCAAACTCGCATGAAGCAGAAGGCTGCCCTCCAGACCCAAGCCCTAGTGGCGGCTCTAAGGCCGGCAGGGAACCAGAAGCCCAAGGCCGAAACCCATGCCCCTCCAGGGGCATGTTTCAAATGTGGAAAGGAAGGACACTGGTCCCGAGCCTGTCCACAACCATGGCCACCAACTAAGCCTTGCCCTATCTGTCGGCTCCCGGGACACTGGAAGTCAGACTGCCCCAGCTTCCCCAGGGTGCCGGTTCCTCAAAACAGACACACTGGCGTTACGCAGCCGGCGGTCACCCTCAGTAGGGAGGAGCCTGCTTGCCAGGAGCCGACCTCCGAGGGAGCTCCATTCCCCAGTCTACTAGGGCTGCTAGATGACTAGCGGGGCCCTGGCTTTCCGACTCCGGTTACCCTCGCCGAGCCTAGGGTCACAAGACATGGGGGCTACCTACTCCGCACTTCCTTCTTATTCTGGCCATCTCACCCCTTCCCAGGTCTTAGTCATGGGAATCGATGGGACCCCGAGTATCCCCTATCAAACCCCACCACTCATGTGCTCATATAACTCCACTCCCTTCACCCACTCCTTTTTAGTAATCCCCACCTGCCCAGTTCCCTTTCTGGGGTGAGACATCCTTTCAAAGCTGAAGGCCGTCATAACCTTCCCCACCGCCAGCCCACACAGCCTTTTTCTCCTAGCCCTCAATACTCTGCCTCAGAACTCCAGACCCTCCAGTCTACCCCCGGGGTACAGTTCAAGGATGACTGGGCCTTCAAGCATAACCTCCTCATCCTCCCTGAAAAGCAAAGGTACCAGATAATCCAAGACATCCATAATTCACTCCACATTGGGCCTAAAGCCTTATACCAGTTCCTCCACCCACTTTTTCACCCCCACCGCCTCCTCAATACCATACAGGAAGTCCAGTCCTCATGTACTGTCTGCGTGAAAACTAATTCCCAGAGTTCCTGTCATCCCCGGCGCCAGCTTCATCAGCTACGCAGGTTCCTACCTGGCCAAGACTGGCAAATTGATTTCACCCATATGCCAAAGCACAAACAGTACCGGCATCTGCTAACCATTGTTGACACTTTTTCAGGCTGGATTGAAGCTTACCCCACAGCCTCTGAGTCTGCCGGGACAGTAGCCACTCATCTCATTCAAGACATCATCCCACGCTTTGGACTCCCAGCTACCATACAGTCAGACAACGGCCTAGCCTTTATCTCCAAAGTCACTAATGCCGTTTCTACCTCTCTAGGAATTCAGTAGAAGCTACATGCCGCCTACCATCCCCAGTCCTCTGGTAAGGTAGAACAGGCCAATGGCCTAATAAAGGAGCATCTGACCAAGCTCATGCTTGAGCTCCGCCAATCCTGGGTAACCTGACTTCCTATCGCCCTCACCAGAGTAAGAGCAAGCCCCCGGGGCCCATCACAGCTTAGCCCATTTGAGCTGCTGTATGGTTGCCCCTTCCTGCTTTCAACTCCCCCACCGCCAGAGACTACTCCTCTAGACAGCTACCTCCCCTACTTTACTCAGGATTAGGAGGAGGGGCACTAGTCCACTCTCACCTGGCCATAGCCCGACTGACCTCACAACTCCAAGCGGCTATTGATGACTCTACTGAGTCTTTAGCATCATTCCAACGACAGATCACCTCAGTTGCCCAAGTTGCCTTGCAGAACCGAAGAGCCCTGGACCTGCTCACTGCTGAATGAGGAGGGACCTGTATCTTCCTACAGGAAGAGTGCTGTTACTACATCAATGAATCCGGCCTAGTAGAAACCCGAATCGAGAGCCTCCAGAAACTCAAAACTAACCTGCAGAGTCAGAAGTTCTCGGCTGAAGCCACAGCGTGGTGGTCTTCCTCTATGTATACCCTCTTGTCCCCATTGCTTGGGCCCCTAGTAGCTGTTTGCCTAATCTTACTTATTGCTCCTTGCTTTCTACAGTTCCTATAGCGGCGCTTTCAAGAACTGACTCGAGTCACCATCCACCAGATGCTGCTCCAACCCTACCCTGAACGAGTGCAAGAAACAGACCTCTCCCCGAACATCCAGGCTCCTTAGGAAAAGAAACCTCTTCAGAACCCCCCCGTCGACCCTTGTCAGCAGGAAGTAGCCAGAGAGACAACCGACGCCCCTGACCCCCTCTTTTTCTTTTCTTTAAGGAGTCGGGAATGTTTGGAAAACTCTGCCCCTACCGCAAAAGCTCTCTCTCTCTTTCCCTCCCCCACAAAGAGGCTCCCTTATCTCTCACTTTACATACCGGCCATAGCCCTCCCGCCGCCCAGCTTCCCGCCGCCCAGCTTCCCGCCCAGCAGTTCAAACTGACCAACAGTTGCCCACCACCTCGGCTTTTGGCTTCCCCACCCCCAGCCCTTCAGCCCCCTATAAAACAACCCTGCCCCTCTGAGCAGCGCGGCCATTTTTCCTTTTCGTCCCAGCTGGCCCGCCCGGAGGCTCTTTCCTCTCAATAAAGCCTGAACTTAAGGAATTTCCTCTAGCCTGCGGTCCGGTTTCTTTCCCAATGAGCCCAGTCTTCCCGCAGAGGGTAGGTCGGACAGTTTTTAGTTGTCTTGCTGATGGGAGGGGAGAGCTCCTGGCATTTAGAGTGCAGGACCCATGGATGCTAAATGTCTTCCAGTGCACTGGACAGTCTCCCCAAGAATTGCTCCATTACCACAAAATATTTAATGGGTGAAAAAGCCATTTATAATAATCTAAAGCCAGAATCTAACTCCATTTCATACATCAACACAAATTAGTCTTCTTTCTTTTTTCTGAGACAAGGTCTTACTACCGTTGCCCAGGCTGAAGTGCAATGGCACAATCATAGCTCACTGTAGCCTCCATCTCCCAGCCTCAAGTCATCCTCCTGCCTCAGTCCCCTGAGTAGCTAGAACTCCAGGTACACACCACCACGCCCAGCTCCTTTTAAAAAGTTAACCATGTTGCCCAGGCAGTCCTCCTGCTTCTGTCTCCCAAAGTGCTAGGATTACAGGCACAAGCCACCATGGCTGGCATAGTGTTAAAAGCGCTCGCGTTGAATGAAGAGACCCCGCAAACAGGCTTTGTATAAGCAACGTGGCTGTTTATTCACCTGGGTGCAGGTGGGCTAAAGCCAAAAAGGGAGTTAGCAAAGGGCGGTGGGATAGGAGTTGGTTTTATAGGTTAGGGCAAATCTTTTGGGAAAGGGGTAGGGGTGTTACGGAGTAAGATCAGTTACAGTGGTGGGGGTAGGGGCAAGGAGTATACATTACAATGGCGGGTGGGATAAGACACCAGAGTTGTTAAGATGGTAGGGTGGGGCGGCAGGATATTCACAGAGAAGAGCAGTTAAGATGGCAAGGTGGGCTGAGGAATATTCACATTATTGTAATAACAGTTAAGATGGCAGGGTGGGTTGATATCTGGGGGAAGCTCTGCTGGGTGATCAGGGATAATGGAGAATGCCGAAGCAGGGTTGGGGTGATCAGCCGAGGCAGGCAGGACTTTAGACTTTCTGGGTCCGGGCTTGCACATGGAGGCCTGACACCTAGTGTTTTTTACTGAATTTTCAGTAAGGTGACTATGTTGAAACCCCATCTCAAGGGGTGAAAGCAAACAGAACACACTGCCATGTGTGTACCTATGCAACTGTATTGCATGCTCTGCACATGTACCCCAAAACCTAAAATGCAATAAAAAAATAAGAAAAAAAAAAAGAAACCCCATCTCTACTAAAAATACAAAAAATTAGCCAGGAGTCGTGGCGCACGCCTGTAATCCCAGCTACTCAGGAGGCTGAGGCAGGAAAATCACTTGAACCCGGGAAACGGAAGTTGCAGTGAGCCGAGATCATGCCACTGCACTCCAGTCTGGGTGACAGAGCGAGACTCAGCCTCAAAAAAAATAAAAATAAAAAACAAAAGCAGAGGAAGAATATACTTTGTTTTGCCTGGGAGTTTTGTTAAGAGTTGTTCATCCATCCTTAGAGAAAAGGAAATAATGGATGGCAACACCTCTTCTGATGTTAGAGCATCCCACACACAAGGTGCCTGCATTTGTAAGCCGCACTCTAGGTGGACAGACCGTCGTAGGTACTTCAATGTCAAACACAAGGCAAAACTGTGGACAAAATTCAGTTAAGTAGAGAATATTTGATTTCTCAAATCCAAGCACATTTCTTATTGGCAGGCCCATGCTTCTGAGACCCCTGTGTCTCAGGGAGCAGGACTAAGCATTTCCACACTGTAATGCGTGTTGTTTCATTTGATTTACTTTTCTTTTATGTCTCTCTTACATTCGTTTTCAAATTTGAGCGTTTGAGAATACCCTGGAGAAAACACAGATTGCTAGACCTAACCTCCCAGAGTTTCCAATTCACAAGGTTTGCTGTCAGGCTGGAAAATTTGCCCATCTAACGAATTCCCAGGCAATGCTGATGTTTCTGGTCTGGGGAGGATGGTCTGAGAACTACTGCCTATATAAATGCCATGGCTGCCCAGGCACGGTGGCTCATACCTGTAATCCAGCACTTTGGAAGGCCGAGGTGGGCGGATCACCTGAGGTCGGGAGTTCAAGACGAGCCTGACCAACATGGAGTAACTCTGTCTCTACTAAAAATACAAAAAATTAGCTGGGTGTGGTGACGCATGCCTGCAATCCCAGCTACTCAGGAGGCTGAGGAAGGAGAATCACTTGAACCCGGGAGGTGGAGGTTGCGGTGAGCCAATCTTGCCATTGCACTCCAGCCTGGGCAACAAGAGTGAAACTCCATCTCGAAATAAAATAAATAAATGCCATGGACTCATACCAAGAAATTCCTACCTAGACCTGATCTTGGTCTATGGACCTGAATCCTAAATCCCCCTGCTCTGGCCAGCCTGCTTTTCCACTCACCCCAACTTTTTTGGAGGCTGTCTCTACACTTTTCACTTCCTCTTAGAGCTGAGAGCCCTCTTCTTCCCCACAACTAACTCTTGCCAGACATCACCTCCAAAAAGCTTTCCCGGTCCCTTAAGTAGTGTCATTTCCAGGATCTCAAGCCTTCATCCTACCCTCAAACACACAGCAAGTGTCACTCTGCCTTGTCATAATGGGTACATTTCTCTGTCTTGTCCCATCACCATAGAGCCAGGAATGGTCCCTAAGAAAAGCCTCAGGAATCAGGCTGGGACCAGGGTGAGGGCGCAAGATGTAAGAGAGTACCCCCAAAAATTCAATGATTAAGGTAAATAATATTTTAATGCAACATTTTAGAAAATAAAAAATAATGCAAAATTTATGATAAATAAAATATTTACAATTTTCTTTTCTTTTTTTTTTTTTTTTTTTGAGACTAGGTCTTACTCTGTCACCCAGGCTGGAGTGCAGTGTGACACAATCTCTGCCTCCCCGGTTCCAGCAATTTTCCTGCCTCAGTTTCCCAAGTAGCTGGGACTACAGACCCCTACTACCACACCTGGCTAATTTTTGTATTTTTAGTAGAGATGGGGTTTCACCATGTTGGCCAGGCTGTTCTCAACTCCTGACCTCCAGTGATCTGCCTGCCTCAGCCTCCCAAAATGTTGGGATTACAGGTGTGAGCCACCCGCCTGGCCAAAATATTTACAAAAATTTTTTAAGAGAGAGGGTCTTACTCTGTCACTCAGGACAAGGTACTGTGGTGCAATCTCAGCCCCGAACTCTTGGGCTCAAACCATCTTCCTGCCTCAGCCTCCCGCTGAGACTACAGGTGTACATCACCCCGCCTGGCTAACCTTTTGTTTTTGGCAGAAACTAGATCTTGCTATGTTGCCCAGGCTGGTTTCAAATTCTTGGCCCCACTCAATCCCCCTACCTTGGCCTCCCAAAGCATTGGGATTACTGGCATAAGCCACCACACCTGGTCAAAATATTAACATTTTGAATAAAAACTGAATCCATATTGTGTCACTGATTCTTCATTTACTTCAGACTTCAGTGCAGCTCAGCAAGGCTCTTATTCATCCTGTTGTTATTCGATCCAGTCTTTTACACTTTTGGCCATTCTAAAGCCTTTTGTGAAAATGGCCTGTGATAGGCCGGGTGTGGTGGCTCACACCTGTAATCCCAGCACTTTGGGGCAGGTGGATCACCTGAGGTCAGGAGTTCAAGACCAGTCTGGGCCAGCGTGGCAAAACCTCACCTCTACTAAAAATACAAAAATTAGCTGGGTATGGTGGCTTGTGCCTATAATCCCAGCTACTAGGGGCGCTGAGGCAGGAGGATCACTTGAACCCAGGAGGCAAAGCCTGCAATGAGCCAAGATTGTGCCACTGCACTCCAGCCTGGGCAACAGAGAGAGACTCTGTCTCAAAAAAAAAAGAAAAGAAAATGGCTTGTGGCTTAGTTGGGCATGGTGCACACCTGTAATCCCAGCTACCTGGGAGGCTGTGACAGGAGAATTGCTTGCAACCAGGAGGCTGAGGCTGCAGTGAGCTGAGATCATGCCATTTTTGAGACTCTGTCCCCCCCCCAAAAAAAAAAAAAAAAGGCCTGTCCAGTGGCCTCTGAGAAGGGTACGGTAGAAAAGGGGAAATGAAAGCTCCCAGGCCTCAGTCAGGGCAGGTCCCAAGAAGCCCTAGGAGTGGAGGAGGGGAACAAGCCAGAAGAGGCAGCTCTGAAGTCTTCTCCCCTGCAGTAGAGCCCTTTCCAATCAGTATCATCATTTTTCATCATCTAATGGTTTATTTAATGACCTTTGACCTCCTCCTTGTAGTCGCAGCTCACTTTTGCAACTACTAAAAAACAGTGAGTTATTGAGTTACTTGCTCTCTGCTAGGTACTATGCAAAGTACTTTGTGAGTTTGTGGGGGACATGATTTATTAACATGTGAATGTTCCCCCCCTTATACTCCAGGATCACCTCCTCCAGGAGCCTTCCTTGCTCCACAGCTGGGTTAGGTGCCCATTCTCTGTGCTCCTACAGCCCCCGTGCATTGGTGACAGTGGTACTGTGGGTCTGCCCTGGGCCCGTTCATGGGTTGGGCCACTTTAGGTACATTCATTCTTGTCACCCTGTGATTCTCTTTGCATGAGTGAGGTAATTGACGCACAGAGTGGTTAAGGCACTGACCCCAAGTTATGTAACTAGGAAGTGGTGAACCTGGTATTCAAACCTATGTTTTTCTGCTTTAGAACTCAGGCAAAGACAGGTTCTTCCAGGACAGCCTCAGGAAGTATTGGTGCAAATAGTTCCTTTTTTTTTTAAACATTTTTTTTTTGCCCTCTCAACCCAGCTTTTCCCAACTCCAGGAAGAACTGGGAAGACAAGCGCCCCCCCCCTTTTTTTTTTGTGACGGAATCTTGCTCTGTTGCCCAGGCTGGAGTGCAGAGGCTTGATCTTGGCTCAATACAACCTCTACCTCCCAGGTTCAAGTGATTCTCCTGCCTTAGACTCCCAAGTAGCCGGGATTACAGGTGCCCACCACCACGCCCAGGTAATTTTTATATTTTTAGTAGAGACGGGATTTCACCATGTTGGCCAGGCTGGTCTCGAAC